CGGAATTCTGAATTAACTTAGGTCTGTGGCAGTCCAGTCCAGTCCAGTTTTGTGTTGGGAGAGTCCAGTGGAGTCCAGTTTTGTGATTTGCAGTCCAGCCCAGTCCAGTCCAGTCCAGATTTATGCTTGCAGTCCAGTGGAGTCCAGTTTTGTGCTGGGAGTCCAGTGGAGTCCAGTTTTGTGATTGGCAGTCCAGTCCAGTCCAGTCCAGTGGAATCCAGTGGAAGCCAGTGGAATCCAGTGGAGTCCATGTGGATTATGTGGGGGATGGTAAAGTATTGCAATAGATGTGGTTTTGTTTGATTTGGATGAATATTGTTCTAATAGACAGGATTGGGAAAGATATGTATCATTAAATAGCTTTGGATGCATGAGAAAGCTGGGATAAAGCCTATTTAAACTCATTTTCAATAGATGGTTTGGACTATCTGGCCTCAATTTGTAGCCTAATATCTCAGGAAAGACCTGGAGAACCACCCCACAAAAAATGGCACCCAATGGACCAGTATTGCAGCCTGCAGAAATAATTTATATATTTTGGAAAAGGACCCCAGACACCTTATGTCAGCTTTGGTATGATGGTATGAAGTGACATCATACCATCTGGTATGGTATAACAGGACATGGTATGGTATGGTGATATGGTATTGGTATGGTATGGTAACATGGTATTGGTATGAGTTTTCCATGCCATGGTACCATGGTATTGGTATGGAGCTCATATACCACCCTGGAATGGGTACCCCCAAGGTACCCTAAATCAAGGAATTGATGTACCTCATAGGTACCCAAAAATGGGTGACTGAAGTGTTGATGCAGAGGTTCCAAAAGAGGCCAAAAAGGGGTGTAATTCTGTATCTTTTTAGATGCCACTTGGTGGACCTGGTAAAGTGGGCAGCGACGCCAGGAAATACCAGCAGGACAACTTGACAAATCTAAGTTCTGCATGGGCATTGGTGAGAGAATGAAGTGGCTGGCACAAAGTGAGGAAACAGACATGATATCCTGGATAACTGAAGTTTTGATGAACTCCAATACCTCCATTTCATGTTTAAGGTGCTGGGCTGTGAGGATAGGCCTCTGCATGAATCAATGTCAGTGCATTCAGAAAGCCAGAAATCAGAACCATACATTGCCATATGTGCGGTCATGACCAATTATAAAGGTGGGGTGAGGTCCCTGATCTAATGTTGCACACTTTGCCCATGTTTTCTTGCATTCCAGTGCAGATTGCAGGAGCTTTGTCACAGCCATCTTGAACTCAACCTTTCTTTCCTTCACCCAACCTGCCTGTGCAGAGTGGTAGAAGAAGGGTCATGATTGAGAATCAAGTAGAATTGTGGGTTGAAGCCTGGAGAGGTGTGGTCAGTTTTTCATATGAAAATGAGGCGTTCAAAAAACACAGACAGGTTGGCATGGACTGGGAAAAAAGTAGTCACTGTGGCATCTATCTTTCCTGGTAAATTATCCCTTGGGATTTGGTTATGAATAGCCTCTGATGGGTTGAGGCCATGCCGCCCAGTTGATGTTTGAGAACTGTTCACCTGTAGTGAGTAGGCTTCGGTTCAGTACATGTCCATTTTACAGAGCCACGATTGGAGCATGCGCCGATCTCTTGCTAGCTGCCAGTCTCTGTTAGTTTCTCAAAGAGCAGCTCCACCATGTCAGTGACTTTGTTTTGACAACTCATCTGAGCCAGCTTTGAAGATTGTTAGATCAGACATGACTGAGTCAAAAGATGAGAGCCAGGTTCCACAATCGATGAGGGTATATTCAGACAAGAGGGATGCCCCTTGGATAGCTTGCAGGGGAAAGCAAGGATATTGGTGATACCAGGTTGAATATGCAAAAGCCCATGGTATCTAAAACAAGTCTGGAATGTCTATTGAATGTTTATGAGAATGATAACTTACTTGACTGATTGTAATGAACAACTGACTCTCCTTGATGTTGGTCATGCTTTTGTCAAATTAGGATAAGAATTGAGTTGGCAGTCAAATGCTTGGGTCAGGTGGTGACTGATGAGTGTCTTTCAGTAATAATTGACAGGGAAGTGATAGATCCTACCACAATGTCAACATTTCCAGTTGAAACAGTCTTACTGAAGATCACCAGAATGTCATCCATTTGATTAAGCTGTGCTGGGTTGGACTGAGGTCCGGCAAGCAAAAAATGGTCCTGTTTAAGTATTTGTGAGTCAATTAGCAGATGCTGAGAGGACTTTTCATCATAGATTGGTGCAGAACCCATAGACCCTATCTATGGCACCACTACTCAATGCCTGCACATCTGCAGCACAACCTTTCTGCTTTCTCATCCATTGTGTTTGTTTTCCCATTAGCTAACCACTGGAGTAGTGTTCGCAGGTCCAGTTAAGTCCAGTTTTTTACCTCAAAACGACGCAACTGGCAACTGCAACCGGTCTAGACCGATCCAAATATTGAGGGACCGCAACCGGACCGCTTTGGACCGGTCTTTTTCGGTCCACAACGCAAAAAAAACCGGTCCAGACTGGTTGCGACCGGTCTTTTGTTGAAAAGTTTATTGTGCCAGATATATTAAATGTTACCTCACGTATATAGCATGCGTAGATAGATAATTTAATTCTCCGTACGCTGGCCAAAATTTGAAGTGAATCGGTCAAGATTTGACTGAGATATGGTGAAAACGGAGAGAACATACATTCAAATTGCGTATAAAAATGTTTTTGGCCATATCTCAACCAATTCTTGACCGTTTTTGATGATTCAGGGACCGAAAATTAAGTAAAATGTGCACGAGTAAGGTACAATATGTGATGAGACGAAAGACCGGTTGCAACCGGTCTAAACCGGTCTTTTTCGGTTTTTATATATTTACAAAAACATGGCAACTGGCAACTGGACTGATCACAAATGTGGGCAACTGGCAACTGGAAAAGACCGGACTGTGGTTCAGTCCAGTTCAGTCCTATGTATATTTTCAGTCCTGTAGACTGGACCTGCGAACACTACACTGGAGTGATCACCACCCTGCTCACAAACTTGTCAAGTATCACTAATATCAGCTTCTTTGTAATGCCTACAGCGCTATCCATCATTCAATAGATAATGAATTTCTGTTCTACATTATGGTTGGGGACAGTACACCCTGTTCTTGTCAGCTCAAAGTGCCCATTGACAAACATTGCACAGCCTGTGACATTCATCCATCTATTGTGGAGGGAGATTCAGAATGGCAAGCCATGACAAATCTACCTTGTCCCAGAGCTAGTGGAATACCAAGGCATCACCTTCTTCTGTTGGGTCCCTTCAGAGTATCTGGAAATGCTTCCAAAGCCTAAGATCAACCCCCTCCTTAATTTATTTCAAGGAATACTAATGGGGTTGACACAGTGCTTTCTGAGGAGCCTCAGGTGGCTTGGAGAACTCTTCAGAGTGAACAATCTGCAGTGAGTTATTTGTTAGCTGCAATAGTTTTGCAACTCATCCATCTAAGCACAGAAGACGCAGGAACCTGATCAACAAGAATTACTCAACTACAAAACATATCAGTGATGTACCAATCAATATGTAAAAAATAGTTGCAAATGTCCCACTTACTTTCTGAGATCTGCTGTAATAGATATCATTCACCTTAAAAGTGACCTTGGTGTGTTAGATGGCCATTAGTGCAAGCACTGGTAAATTGCAAAGTATCCATTCAGTTAAACCATGTTGTTTTGCCTATGCAGACACTGCTTTGAAAGGCTTCTGTCATCTTTGACTCTCATCCTTGTCTTTTTTGGCAAAGGTGCTGACCCTTATTGATCACGCTGTTGGCCTTTATACCAAGCCATCTCACCAGGTGACAGTAAGTTCATGTTGTTGGCAAGTTCATTTTCACTTCATCTGCCCAATTACAGCCATTTGCAAAAGGTTGGTGGTTGCTGCTCTTCACAAACAAAACAAAACAGACCCTAGGCTAGGGTTTGTGCCTCCTGAGACATGATGGGGCATGGTACATTCACAGTGGATCTTAGAGATTGTTATAATCTATATTTTAAAATACAATATACCACCAAAATATGTGATCTTCAGTTGCAGCAATGGATGTTTTCTGACCCAGACTCAATGTGCTCAGATTATGCAATTTGGGATGGATTACATGGTGAACACCATTATTTGAGACTTTACATGCTGTACATGAGAAACAATTGGGTAGCATGGGGCTGTAGAAGCCGTTCAGAAGGGCAAAAGACTAGCCTAGGGTCTGTTTTGTTTTGTTTTCCAAAAGTGGCAACTGCCAACCTTTTTGCAAATTGCTGTAAACTCATTGTTTCAGGTTCTCATTCCTACCACAATTTCCAGATGAATAAATCTGCATTTGATGGAAATCAGGCTTCCTACATTGTGCTGGATGATGTAGAACCAGCTTCATTTTTCTCATACAAGAGTTGGCTGGGGTCATTCTTCAGACCGCCATATAAAATGACTTTGCCAAACTAATTATAGAACTACAGTTAGCCCTGATCAGTTCCTTGAGCTTGTTTTAAACTGTGTATTGCAAATAACTTGGGGTATATTTTTCAACTTCCACCACCTTACCTACTATCCACTGATCATTGACTGGAAATACAGAAGTACATTGGGTGCATTCAGGCTATTAACCACTAATCATTATAAGCAATATGGATCAGTTTTGACCCAGGCTGTATTGAGATTGTCTTTGAAATGGGAATGTCGGATGGTTTCTAATGTCACCGACATGGTCGTGGTCACATGAACTAGCTAAGCAGTCACCTGAAAATAGTGTTCGCAAGTTCAGTTCAGTCCGGTTTTTTGCCCCCAAAACGCGCAACCATGGACCGCAACCGGTCTAGGACCGACCCAGATATTGAGGGAACCAAACCGAACCACCTAGGACCGGTCTTTTGCGGTCTATGGAGCCGGTTCAGACCGATCCAGACCGGTTTTTTTGCGTATAATTTATTATACCAATATAAACCATTTGTATCTCGACTATTATTACTCTGAAAAATAAATGGGTTATATAAAATAGTAAAGCATGTAAATACCCGTCATTCTACCAATTTTGAAGAGATTTAATGAAGATTTGACATAGCTATGACTGAAACCGAATTACTTCTCATAGAGACTCAGGTAAAATATGGATTTGGTTATATCTTTCTCAATTCTTAACTGTTTTTGATGAAACAAAAACCCAATAAAAGGTAATAAACGTGGTTACAAGGATATGTAACGCATGTGACCGTTTAACCGGTTGCAACCGATCAAAACTGGTCTTTGAATGGTTTTAATATATTTTCGAAATGAGGCAACTGGCAACCGGACCAACCCCAAATTGGGGCAACTGCAACCAAAAAAAAGACCGGACCATGGTCCAGTTCAGTTCGGTTCACCGGTTTTTTGAGGTCCTATGGACTGAACCTTTGAACACTACCTGAAAAGTTCTATTTCTCACCCAACGACGCAAGAGCAACAGGGCCAGCGATGGCTATGGTGCGCTTCAAAGTAGGGCAGGACCTCATCCCTGATGGCCTCACACTCCCTCAAATACTCTCATTTGTACACCTTGCTTCGGCCCTCAAGAACAACATCATTTTGGTCCAACCTCCTTCGGTAATCCCTTCCTCGGCCCCTACTTCTCCACCCCCTGCAATCTGCAACTTCCTTGCAGATGCACTTGGAATATCCTTGGAGGCCACTCTGACTTGTTGGAAGTTACTGAAAGAAGAAGTTTGGACATACACAACGGCTGAGCAGGAAGTTTTTGAGTTGGAAGCGGCCTTTCATGATCACAGATGGAAACAAGGCATCAGTAAGTCCTGCTTCATGCGACATCGTGCTATGGGATACTCACCAGTACTTGAAGCTTTTCTCACTCTCTACCTGCCATCCCAATTCTGCACCAACTCATTGTGTGCCCGCTCGAAGCCTCTCAAAAAAGATCAACACCACCAAGCCGTTGTCTATACCCTAGTGCACAGAGTGCAGCCTGCGTGGTCTGTACATCTTAGCTGTCAAGGTAAGTGACTGCCATTTCTACGACCCAAGGGCCTCGCTAATCTTCTTGCAGATTGTTGCACAAATTACCACAACAACTTCTCGGTCCTTGGTGGCCTTCATACCTACTATGGTGGTATCCCAAAGTACATCCAAGTTGGCGAGCACCAGTTTGTGGAGAATACAGTGATCAATATGTGGATTACTATGATGCTTGTTGGCTGGTGAGTACCAGGCTCGTTATTTCACCTCACTGTTGCTCATGGTAATCTAGGTTTTCCGCTACGAACTGTGCACGCACATACAATATAGCACTCTCATGGCAACAGGAAGCTGACCTTGTATTGGGGGGCTGGCAGTTTGGCACCACCCTCATGACCGAACATGTCTGGGATGCCTTCATCATCTACATGCTCCTTCAAGACCATTGCACACAGGACATCTGCATGCAGGTCCCCCACACGGGATCTCAGAAGGATCGCTTTACTGAGCTCATGAAGCAACAATGAAAAATGGTTCTTCAACTCATCAGTTGCAGAGCAGACAAATGTTTGGTTGGGAGGGTACTATTCGATCTGCCATGAGATGCTCCCCGTTAAGTACAATTTCTTTTTGGATGAGATGATATGCCTTCGGAACCAACAGATTGTGGCAAAACTTGCAGCAGATGGCCATCACCCATGACATGCACCTCATCCAAGTGAACAGTAGTGACATTTCTTCAATACAAATTATTACTTGTAATGTACAAAACAAATAGATTCTTTACAAACTGAGTGATTTACAAGATGAGGGGTTTACAAAACGAGTCACTTACAGGATAAACAGGAAACAGCAAGTTGAAAAAGAGTGGATGGGAATCTACTTGCTGTGTCGGAAGCTCGCACAATAAACAGACCACAGGCTGGGTGGTGTTCATCCTCCCTGTAAAGCCGCCTCTCATTGAGCCTGTGTTCCACATTTCCACTTCCTTTTTTGATCACCATATGTTGTCGCCTTGTATGGAGCCTTGAAAACAGTTGCAAACCTGTCGGCGAGGAGCGGTTGCTCCTTTACGAGTTCATCACTGTCGATGTGAAGAAAGCTGTCAACCATGTCAACAGCATACATTCCATAAGGCCAAGAAGGAAGCAGACCTTGCAGGGTAGGCGATGCCAATGGGTCAGTGAGATCTTCTGCATGTGTGACCGAAAGAAGCAGTGGTGGATTGCTGCCAGGGGGTATTGTAGGAGAAGTTGGTGGAGACGATGATGGTGGCATCTTTGACGACGCGTATGATGGGTGCTGCCAGTTGGATTATGTTTCTTGCAATGTTTCGTCCCTGGCCAAGGGCCGTCAATGATTTCCATGTCAGATTCAGAATCAACCACTTTGGCATCTCTGTTTTTGTTGCGCACAGCCTTCCGTTCCTCCTTGATGTTATACCACAGGTGTTTGGGACCAGGCACACTGAGTAGCTGAGCAAGTATTGTGTCTTCGTCAAGACAGGTGACGCCCTGTCGCCGGATCACTATAGTACAATCAGTGGTTAACACATGGACGAAGGCCATGTCTGTGCCCATCCAGAGGCGGTGTTGATGCGAATACATCACTTTATTGAGCCGTGGCGGTTGCACCAAGTGCCCTTTCATCAATTGTTGTCAGTCACCAGGTTTGTTCTGTTGGATACCGTCTTGGAAAGCCCTGATGACATTACGGCAGTCTGCTTGGATGGTTTCACGCCTGGTGGGAAGAAGAACCAGAATGCCTTTCCGTTGGTGTGGATTTCCTTTGAGAGACACTAGGAAAGATATTATAGATGTTAAATTCACAGATCAGCCTGACAAAACCAACCTTGATGTAGTATTGGCCAGCATGTTTGCCACTCACTGAGAGTTCAACCGCCACATGAGTACCACAGAAGGCGCAAGTATTCTGATCACTGTCAATCAAGGGAAGTTTGAACATTTGAGGGACGGCATTGCTCATTTTGACGTAGAGCGGGTGTTTGGGTTGCACAGGAAGAAGTGGTTATATTGGAATTTACAGCAGTAATATATGAGGACACGTCGGGCCATGTCGTGTTTGGAGCTGAGCACATGCTGAGTCATGACAGTTGCCGACATCAGTCTCTCCCGACATTCCCAAATCAAAGACTTTCTGGCTGATTCATGACACTCAGATTGGTGCATGAAAATATTGTTCTACAGGAAAGGCAACCAGGGGTGGTTCTTCCCTGCCCACAAACACAGCTAGAGGCTGCAGTGGGCCTCTAGTAATTATGGAAGGCATGGGCACTTATTAGGAGGACAAGCTTCTACCCAGCCTGCATACTTTTCTGGATTCACTGCTTTATTAAGGGTAGCTGCCTACTCAACCAATGTCCTTTCCCACTGATCTTCTTCTTTTCTTTCTCAGCATTCACTCTGATCATGCTTATTCAATGGCAACTGTTGTAACATCAAACTGTGCAGCTCTTTGTTACTGCTTACTGGCCATTTTCACCCACATCTCTAGATGTAGAAACACTGGTCTGAAAGACTTTGCTTGGTTTGAGAAACCCAAGCCCTCTAGCCATTTGGAAAGTGAGGAGGGAGAGAGGGGCACAGATGACAGACAGACTGCATCACTGAACAAGCTTTGGGATATGAAAATGAAGGTGCAGCTGAAGAGGAACTTCTAGACAGTCAAGCATCGGAAAATATAAAGGAAGATATAGAAGCTGTTCTAGAAAGCATCATGGATGGTATGTACTTACCTGACTGGCTAGCTAAACATCTGATAGAATGTTGAATCTCCAGATACCTACAACTATGTCACTGCCATTTCAAGTTGGCCAGACGTTGAGGTTGACAAAGATGGCCACAGTGAACTTCCTCAAGATGATGGAGGTCTAGGTCTTACCTATGAAACTTCATCAGCAAAGGTGCTGGGGTGTGCATTGGACTCTGGAGAACCCTAGCAGAAGGGCTGATTCATTTGAGTTATTTATAGTGTTTCACCAGTGAGAACTTCACAATGTCCCTTGTTGTGGCACATTGTGCCCACTTCATAAGTGAAGGTGCTGGGATGTGTGTTGGACTCCTGCCAACCCTAACAGAAGGGCTGATTCATTGTGCTTGGGAGTCAACTTACTTGGAGACTTGAATAAGCGGTTTTAAGCACAGTATCATTTAGATGAGGCGGGGTACTCATACCCTTTGTTTCGGAGCATAGAGATATAATAAAACTCACCAGAGTTACAAAAGTCAATTGAAGCTGTGTCAAAGAATCGGCCCCTCCATTAGGGTTTGTGGAGTCCAACACACACCTCAGCACCTTCACTGATGAAGTGGGCACAATGCACTGCAACAAGGGACATCATAAAGTTCTCAACGGTGAAACACTATAAATAACTTAAATGAATCAGCCTTCCAGCAATGCAATGCAACAAGGGAAATTGTGAAGTTCTACTCAAGAAGGAACCTTTCATCATTATGGGTATGTTGTCACTCAATTGAAGAAGAAATATATTTCTTACATTTTTGCTTGAGTGGCCCCTCCATTAAAGTTCGCCAGAGTCTGACACACACCTCAGCACCTTCACTGATGAAGTGGGTGCAATGTGCTGCAACAAGGGACATTGTGAAGTTCATGTTATAAATAACTCAAACAAATTGGTCCTTTTATTAGGGTTTGCCAGAGTTCAACACAACAAGGGACATTGTAAAATTCTCAACTGCCAAACCCCACAAAAGAGTTCGACAATTCCCGATACTCTGTGATCAGGGACATCATGAAGTTCTTAACAGCCAAACCCATGAAAGACTTCAATGAATCAACAAAAGAGTCCATCTTTCCTTTGACATTTGGGTGTCCCTTCATGTCTCTGGAGTTTATCACACACCTGAATATCACAGTACTTTACAGTGCCCCAACTATTCCTGCAGGAATCCAGTCATTCCAGCAGAATTCCAGTGGAATCCACAGGAATCCGCAGAAACTCCAGAGGAATCCACAGCATTCCACAGGAATTAGACTGGAATTAGACTGGAATCAAGCAGAATAAGTTTTGTTCCAACTCCAACCTTATCCTAGGACTTGGTGCTCATAATTCCTTATAAAATTCACATCTAGGGGTCATGAGTTCAAATTGTAATGTATTTAAATCATTACATACAATGCACAACTACTATACAGTCTATTTTGAAGAAAAAGGGGAAAGAAGGGACAAGGAGGGGGTGTATTGTGTATTTTGCTACATATAGCAGACATAGACTCTATATTAAAGTGGGACAAGGAAGGGGGAAGAACAAGGGAGGGGAGGGGGGAAGGGGGGAAGGACAAGAAAGAGGGAAGGGGGCAAGAGGAGGAACAAGGAAGGGGGAAGGAATGGTGAAGGAAGGGGGAAGGGAGCAAAGGGGAGGGACAAGGGAAGGGGAAAGGAGGAATGGGGGGAGGGAATGGTGATGGAGAGGTGGGGATGGAGTAGTGGAGGGGAAAGGGAGTGGTTCTGTTGTCAGCTCCTTGTCGCATCCCATTGTCATCATGTTGCATTGTCAGCTCCTCATCATGTGTCCACATGTTCACATTATTCGTGGGCACTGACTGTTGTTTTGTGGGTGCTGGCTGTTCTTCATGAGTGCTGGGACACGTTCATGGGTGGGGTTTGATGTGGCATGGTCCTGGGTGTGGACACGTCATTGTGGGTGTTGTTCCTGGGTGCTGTGGGTGTGTTTGTGGGCGGCGTGTGATGTGGCACGGTTGTGGGGCATAGACACATCATCATCCTGGATCATGGTGGTTGTGGGTGCTCTTCCATTTAGTTGCCACATCACTGGCAGTGACCTGGCACCTGGATAGTGAGCAGTGGGGGAGAGGGGGCAGTGTTTACTCACCCGCATGGTCAGAAACACCAGACAATGTGTTGCTGCATTGCCTGGACCTTGCAGAACCTCGCCCAAACCCATTGTGTTGGTGTTGACATGTTGCAGCATGCATAGTCTTGGTTGGTGGATGAGTGACATGAATGGGTTGAGGAGTGACGTGGGTGGCAGTGGGTGATGCTGATGCTGTGGCATTGGCAACGGTGATGAGCATGGTGGTGGGAGGAAGAGAGTGACCGTGTGTTTGATGAGCAGAATAGCCAAACAAACACTGTTTGGTTATCCATCAGAAATAAATGAATGATAATTAGTGACAAATAACAAAGAAATAAATGCATTCAACGAAATTCTGTTCCTGCCCATTCTGGCAAGCATTCCAGTGTAAATTCCGGAATAATCAAATTCCACTGGAATGAGAAAACACTGGAATGAAAAAATTAGCAGGGCTCCCTGCTCACTTTATACCATCATACCAAAGCTGTCACAGGTGTCTGGGGTCCTTTTCCAAAATGAATAAATAAATTCTGCAGGCTGCAATACTGGTCCATTGGGTACCATTTTTGTGGGGTGGTTCTCCATGTCTTTCTTGAGATATTGGGCTACAAATTGAGGCTAGATAGTTATTACAAAGGCTTGTAGTGTCCGCTTTTTCAGACTACAAAAGTTACTAGTGTCTGCTTATTTAGACTACAAATGTTTGTAGAACACCTGCAATATGACCCCTACAAAAAACAGATCACATGAGCTAGCCATCACATGTTATCTCATGTGTTATCTTTCCTCATGTACTGTATCTATGAAATTGGATGTAGTTCTTTTTTGAAGCTCATCAACATCACTCGATAAGAGAAAATATGTGTGTTATTCAAGGTACATTGTATTCCAGTTGCTATCTTTCCAAGTGCACTGACTTAAACACCTTTGTTTGTGCTTCCCGATGTCACTGCCAATCAACTTAATTTTTGCGAATGCTTTCTCAAGCACCTTCAACATCTTTGCGTTTACGCCTCCTGGCATTTCAATAACTGCCATCATATCATTGAAACACTGTTTGATCCTTCGCTGACAGTCCTGGGAATAGAAGATCTGGAAGAATGTCGATGTCATGGATAATAGGCATGTATCACTGATTCTTACTCACATGTTCAACTGTTTCACCATCTTCAAGCTCATTGTCGTCCTCAACAGCTTCAAGATACTCTTTGGCATCAGATGTCATTGCAATTTGGACCACAACCTCATCCATTTCATCCAACTCCTCATCTTCCATTCAGGGAGGACTTGATGACTGAGTGGACGATGCTATTCTGATGGTCTTCACATCCTCAGCTCCCAGGATGCGTACCTCAATGTCACTGCTGCTGTCTTCAGCATCATCTGCAAAGTGTATGCCCTTGATTGAATAATAAGGGGGGTAGTGTTAACGTGAGAGCTTTGCAAAGAACTCCATGCTGGTGAGTGGTGCGTCATCCAATATCTCATTGGCTTCACGAACAAGGTGCTTGCATGTCAAGAAACGACTGATCAGGTATGCTGGACAGCTACAATTCCAACAGTCAATTTCAGTTAAGTATTTCCTGTTGGTCCCTCTCCTCTTCAATTTGTGTTAGCCGTTCAGTGCAACCTTTGGTTTTTGCAGGTAACTTCCGCCAATGAAGTTCTTTCTCAACCAAGCGGCGCTCATTGCATTTACTCAACTGCAACCACTCAGCTTTGAAGTCTTCCTGCCAAAAAGCAAGCGCCTTAGCTCTTCTGATGTGTCTTGACCCCAAAACATATGTGAGTGTGTGCTTGATCCTGGCAAAGTGTTGGTAATGACAGTATGTGTCACAAGGTCAAGTCGAGGCCGATTATATTCCACTAAATTATGATGTTTGATGTTCCGCCACAGACTCTCGACAACCATGGTTGTTTTCAAACGAGGAATCACATCATCTGCTGAGCATGCCCAAAGCCTCCAGTGTTTTGGAGTATACCATCAATTCCAAAGGTATGCCCAAACTTGAGAAAGGTCATGCTGATAACAAAAATCATACATATCTTTGACAGCGCCGCGATGTATCTCCTCTGCAGTAAATCTTGTGTGATCTTCATCATTGAATGGGATTTCAGGGTGTTGGTGAAGGTGAATTCAGAATTTTTCAACAATAATTCCTTGTAGTTCTTTGGGGCAAAAAAATGGTAAGGAAGCCTTCGTATATTTTGGGGGGTAAGGCCACACAGGAACCTGTGTATCTCCTGAAACAAGAATGAAAACAGGAAGGTGACAAGTCAATGGGGGTGAGTCTTCCCTATTTTCTTGTTCACATCCATTTTCTTCATTCTCAAGAGCTTTGACATCGTCGCCATGGACACCTTCCTCCACCCACCCCGACGTTACACCTGGGGCCCAAGTCAGATCAATGAGAATGAAAATTGCATGAGCTGTACATGGGTCATACTTCGCTGGAGGCTTATCTTCAGCTAATTGCTCTTGAAGGTATTTTATTCTGTGCCAATAGCATAATTGGTGCTTAGCTAATGGCATGGCTTTTCAGACAGCAGAAATCTCATCAGTGTCTTTATCCATCAGCGTGAAGTTGATGTTTGGGCATTGCTTCACGACATGTCCTAGAAGTGCTACAAGCATTAGTTCCTTGGCACCTGGCATTGCCGTACCATCTGTTGAAGCAGTGAAGGCAAATGCTAATGGAAGTGCTTGTCCATTTGCCTCTGTGATGATCACAAATTGTTCATAGCCCAAAGTGTTTGTTTTCCCTGTTACATTTTCAGTCAGTGAGGGCTTAACTAATTTAAAATTAACTTTTCCTACAGGTGGAGTCCATGGTGACCTCCAAAATATGTTCACTGTACTTGTCAAGAACTTCCTTCAATGCGAAGGCTATTGTCAAGATGCTGTCCTCAGACGGCATAGGAATGATTTCAACCTCTTCTTCCTCATATTTTTCAATCTGGGGATGGGGGAAAGGTATATTTTATTGAACAATGTATACTACACTGCAGGCCATGGTGGCCACTGAGGCCACCCTCACTTTGTGCTACTCGAAATGTGTTAAACACGTGACTCACATGAGGGAAAACATCATGTGATTTTGTTTTTGTAGGGGTCGTATTGCATTTAATTGTTTGTAGTGTGCACTTTTAAAGATTGTGGTCTGCTTTTCTGATATCTTGTAGCCTCCTATTATCTATGTAGGTATATGGGTATAACTGATGTTTCACAGAAATTGACTGTAGCCAAACAGCTGGCAAATCATTTGGACACTACAAACTTTGTAATGAAAAAAGCACACACTACAAGCCTTTGTAATGAAAAAGGCAAAGACTACAAATATTTGTAGTCTAAAAAGTGCACACTTCAAACTTTTGTAACAAAAAGACTACAAACTTTAGCAATAAAAAAAGCGCACACTAGTAACTTCTGTAGTGAAAAAGTGGACAGTACAAACCAAACTGATATTATGTAATGATTTTCCCAATTTGGAACTATGCGAACATCATCATACATAATGACAACGCTAAGCTAGCCACTAATTCCAGTGGCCCAAAGAGCATGGGAAACAGTTCCCGACCTAAATGTGCACTGTGCCTGACATTAGGTGTGGCAGAAGAAAGTGTAACACTTTTCCCAATTAGGAAATAGTGCACACATCAAAGCGGACACTACAAAATTTTAGCCTCACTTTGGTCAAAACTATTGGTAAATATATGTAAACAAACTTCGAAATGAGGGTTTTCTGCCTTCCTCTCCCTAAATAAAAATAGATTATGGTTCCTGATACCGTGGTATGGTATGAGGGTGCATGGTATGGTATGGTAGGTATGGGAGTGCAATACCATGGTATGGTATGGTATGAGAGTGCAACATGGGATTACAATACCATGGTATAATATTTTGATAATGAAGACTCTTAGGACAACAAGACTTGATTCCATTTCCAATTGACAAGACTTTGGATTGGACAGATTCACTCAGCTTCAATAAATTGGACCAAATATTATGACAAAGAAGACTTTGGCCAAACACTCAGGACAACAATACCTGATTCCATCATATGTAGTTTTTAAGAAAATTGAGATTATATGATGGTGTTGTTGGCCATACTATATGTGTATGCTATGTAAGTGGGTAGGACTGTCTGATTGGCCCTACTGGGCAAAATATATTTAACCTATTATTGAAAGCATTCATATTAATGGCCTTTTAGGAATGCAAAAACCCCCAATTGAACTGATTTTCAAAGGTTGGAGTTGACTATCTGGCCTCCACTTGGAGTTGGAAATCTTAGAAAAAACCTGAAGAACCTTTCCACTTTTCTTTGCTTCTCAATGACCACTTCATCCCAATGGACATGGTATTGTTTGATTTGGATGAATATTGTTCTAATAGAAAGGACTGGGAAAGATATGTATTAGTGAAGGGCTTTGGATGCATAGGAAAGCTGGGATAAAGCCATCTGGTATGGTATAACATGACATGGTATGGTAACTTGGTATTAGTATGAGTGGGATATGGTATGGGTTTTCCATTCCATGGTACCATGGTATTGGTATGGTGCTCATATACCACCCTGGATTGGGTACCCTTGAGGTACCCTTAAATCAAAGAATTCATATACCTCACAGATACCCTAAAATGGGTGACTGAAGTGCCCTGCTAAAATTCATTCCACTGGAATGACCCGATTCCTGCAGGAATAGAGGGGGCACTGCTAAGACCTTGAATGTCATTGCTGCCAAAGTGTGCCCAATACTCTGTAACCAGGGACTTCATGCAATTCTGGACTGCCAACCCCCAAGATCAACTTCAATGAATCAACAAAAGTCTGTCTCTTGGTCAAGGTTCTAGTGTCTTGTTGTCTCAATTAGGGTTTCCATCTGTACTTCACCCTCCCCAGGATAATCCATATGGAATGCATGGAATGGAGGGTGGAGTCCATGAAATGGGCAATGGATTCCATGGAATGGGGGGATGGATTCCATGGAATGGGGGGATGGATTCCATGGAATTATGGAATCCAATGGAATCCATATGGAATGGTGTTGGAGTCCATATGGAATTAATCATTCCATGACCATTCCAGCATCATTCCATATGGAATCCATGATGTTCATGGAATCAGAAACTGGCTGTGTCCTCAGCCAACATTGATTCCATGGATTCCATGGATTCTACATGGATTCCATATGGATCATACCAGGGAAGGTAAAGACCTCATTTCCATATCCATTAGACCTGCCCAAGGTCACCACAACAGCCATGTGAGTGTACCCTGTATGTATATTATTATAATAATGCTCCTCATCCAATATTCAATTCTCCCATTAAAATTATTGATTTTAAAATCCTGTTCAAAATCCTACCCTTCATAACCTTTTGAGTTTCTGTATCACCTGTACCACACTTTTATTATAAAAGTATGGAATGTAGCTTCCCTGCAATATTTATAGAGCTCTCATATTTGTTCCATATCTACAAACTCCATGCCAGGCAATTTTCTTTGTCTCTTCTTCAAAATCAGCACAATAGTGGCATCTAAGTATGCTATTTATCTTTAATGAGTATCTGACTAATATGGTGGGCTTACCCATTATGCAAGTTTTGCTCCTGTAAAGTACTATCATGTATCTAGTTTTGTAGTTTTTGATTTAAAGAGCTCGGATGGTAAGATGGCACAGGGTACAATATATACCTGTTACGGTTGTTAAGTGTAACGGGCAGTTATGTTAAGCTTTCGAGTTCAATCGTTCATTTGTCTACCACAGTTCTCGTCGTTGAGACAAAGTGGGTCACTACAACGTTCGCTTAGCCCTTAAAGCGACACGGTAGGTTCTAGTAGCCTTGCGCCCGAAGGTCAGTCCAAGGTTCTATGATATGCTGACTTCTGTTTTAAGTCAAACGTGCGTTAAGTCTTCAACGTTGAAGACTTATCGTCAAGGTTTCAAAAGAGGCTCTAAGTCAAAAGACTATAGAGTTCGAGGGCGATCTTAGTTTCTGAGGGTCTGATGAGGAGGAACTAAGCTTAGATTGCCTAGGTTCAAGCTACTGAATACAAACGAAAAGTACCCTACTTATATACTAAGGGTGTGAGTCAAGTATGAATCAGAGGTATGAGTTTGTATGACTTGCGTAGAGTCATACGAGTCGTATCTAGTCTATAAGAGTCATATGAGTCATATGAGTCAAAAGGAATCTAGCTGGAGTGTGTGTCTAGAACTGTCCAGTATGGTCTAGATACGTCTTAGGAATATGTAAGTGTCTGCGCGTATATGTAAGAAAAAGAGTCTGTAACAATACCAGAATCTTGCCCTTTCTCACCATGTTGGCTGCATAAAATATTCTACTCCCAACAAGGAGGTGTCATTTTTTCTCCAAGACAAGCTAGAGATCAGTTAAATACGGAAAAAAAACATTGTCCGAAAGCCAGAAACAAGGGCTTTCTAGTGGTTAAAGAATTAATAAAAATGGTCTACTTCTTAGAGATCCATGAAGCTTTGACCAAAGTTTGCAAAACAGGAAATTGATCATTAAAGTCAGACTTGTGGATGTGGGCCAGTGCTTCACATGGCATGTATGAGTCCTTCCTGTGGACCTCAAATGCTGAAAAATATCTGGAATATGTAACTTCTTTACAAAAAGGCAAATTTTAATATTTTTATTCACAATGGATGCAAGCCACATTAACTTAATCCAAATTATTGTGAAGAAATTGTAAAAAAATTGCAGAGAGTTGAATAGCTGATTCTCACATTTTGAGAATGACACACCCAGAATTAGAGAAGTATGGAAAGTATAATGTTTTGCTGTGTGGCTGCATGGCCATTTTTCACCTAAATTTGAAAATAAAAATGAAGGTAATAACTACAAGAAGCACAGACAAGCCAGCTTTACTAGCAAAAAAAGGTTGACTAGCTTCTTTTCATCTTTTCAAATGAATAGACCCAGAGTGAGGGACATGCAGAGTAAAAGATAAAGGCAAGTAAACCAAATAAGGAGATTATTTGTCAGCTTATCTCCTTACATAATAGAATGGTCCTAGTGGAGGAAAAGAATCTTACTACACCTTACCAAATAAGGCAAATTTCCTTTTTATGCCTAGACATGGCACATATTGGCCACATCCCCACAAAATGCAACTTTCTTGGTTTCAATTTATTGTTTTCTGCTACCATTCTCCCACAAAATAGCCTCGGACCACATGACTCACTTAACCAACTTTAAAACGCTGGCACTGCCTCTTGCGACATATCTGCATGCCCAGCCAATGTTTTCCTAGTTCCATCCTATGCGCCTCTTTCCCTCCCACCTGTGACACCATATCACAACGAAACAGCTTGTAAACACATCATTGAGTGGCCACAAACACCTCTTTTTCCTCAGACCTTGCTTGACAATGCAATCCCCACTACAATTTCTTTTTTAATGCATGGAGATTTCACTTTGTCGTGCACATGTACCATGAGTGGATGCTTGAAGACTGGATGGGTCCTCAAGCACCAGGTTACAAGGAATGTAAGGGAGGAAATTGTGGTTCGAATACCAACAGTGCAGTGGTCATTGAGCATCTTGCAAACTTGAGCTCATGTGATCTTGCAGCTCTGTATGTGAAATGTGTGAGTTCCACCCATTTTCAATTTTGTAACCATCACTCTTTCAGGTATTTCATAACTCTCCAGACACCATACCCCTTGTTGACCTCTTTTAGCCTTTAGAGCTATGCTATGACTATGCAATCCATTCTCACCCATGGCAGTACTTGCAATGTGATGACAACATGTTATTCTAAGTCCCAGGTATGTTACTGCATCATAGGTGTTTGTCATTAACAATGACAACACCATGCTAGCCATTAACTCTTCTGGCCCAAAAAGCATGGGAAACAATTCCCAACCTAAATGCACACTGTGCCTGACATCAGGTGTGGCAGAAAAAAGTGTAACCCTTTTCCCAATTAGGAAATGGCCCAATTAGGAAATAGTGTGCAGATGAAAGCATATACTACACATGGGTCAAAGCTATTGGTAAATATCTGTCAACAAACATCCCAATGAGGGTTTTCTGCCTACAAAATAATAGGTAAATCCCCTATCCCATATATTTAAAAAATTCCCAAGTATTCTAATACAAAATATCTTGTCATGTGTCTGGTGTACATATGTATAAACATATGCTCTCAAAACTGTGGAATACGCTAAAATCTCTTTTATCCTAGTATATTTACTCTCAATTTCTGAGTTTGGTGATAGAATTGTACATCCATCATATGGATAAAACAAACTTACCATAAAAAAGGGATCAGATCCAAAAAATGAACAAATAAATATGATCTGAGCTCATATTTAGAATATGCTAAAATCTTGGCCCAGGAAGTTCAGCAAATTCTAAATATCATATTTATTCAATCATTTTTTGGATCTGATCCTTTTTTTTATTGTAAGTTTTATGTTGGATATACAATTCCATCACCAAACTTAGAAAATGAGAGCAAATATGTCAGGGGAACACTGGTTTTGGTCTATTCTCCAGTTTTTAGTGCCTATGTTTACATCTATGTGGCCCTTCATCCTCAGTGAAAACCGGCTCTGCTACCAGCCGCTAGTATCTGCAAATTCCCGGCAGATATCGGAGATCGTCGGCAGAGCAGAAAGGTGCAGGTAGACTGGGATTTTGTCCCTTTTGCAGATTTTTTTCTGCAAGGCTCCACCTTTAAAGCCACCATTTTGATATAAATAGCCGAAATTTCTGCTTAAATCAGTTTCTTTCCGCCTCCACCTGCACTTTTCAGTTGTTGTCTGTGCCTGGTAAATATTTTGTATTGGTTCAGAAAATCTGCTATTTTCCGTAACTATCTGCAAGTCCCTGCCACCCCAGTACATCCCCAAACTTTGGCACATAACCACCCAATATCCACCTATAGCCCCATGCAGCTTTGCGACGCAACAGCAGATAACTTGAACACTTGATAATTCTCGTCCACCACCATCCGTCCCTTCAACTGACAAGGTTCTTCCCCGAAGCGGCTGTGAATGGGGAGGGAACACAGAAGGAAGGATATCAGTTTGTGACCTAACCTGGACTGAAAATGTTATGAACCTTGATGAATGCGACGCCGCCGAGCAGGATTGAGCCAAAATATAGCACATACATGCATGAAAAAAGGTCAGAAATTTATCTAATTGTGCCAAAAAACAACATACTAACATGTCATGCCATACGCGTTCTCCCATACGTGTTCTCTCACAATCAGAGAAAGTGTTCTCCCATATATGTTCGCTTGCAGTCAGAGATTGTGTATGGCTGGCTTCTATACATAACGGTGAAATTTTAGTCATTCAAACATAAAGGCACTTACGGCCAATCAAGTTCATGACGCCAGCCAGATCAATGATTGTTCTGATACGTCTGTGAGGGGCTTGCTGAGGGATTCGCGGAGTGATGTGCCAGAAGTCCTGCAAGACAGAATGGAGGGAAAAGTGGGGGAGGGAAAGAAAGAGCGGAATGGGAATCATGTGAGGGTGTCTGATATATACAGTTGAGTGCAAAAAGAATGAAGGTTAGTTCATTTTTCTGGTTCTTTCTAAGAATCTATTGTACCCCAAATGTAGTTGTGTTACACTTCCCTTGGTATGGACTAATTTCAGTGAAAGCTGGAGCCTTGAGAATGTTTTTATTCTGGAGGCCATTTTTGGCATCTGAAAAAAAAAGTATGCACTAACTGGCGAGGTAGCCAGAACATACCTCTGGTTAACCTGAATGAGCCTATCAAAGAATCAGTCAAAAATACTGAGCAGTTAGGTC